ATACATAGGACAACTTTCTAGAACAATTCACAGTAATAACAATTAGTAAATAATGGGCGCCTACACTTGTAGTGATTGAAAGTGTTAAGTTTAATTTATACGCCTAATAATCGAACTAGTCTTGACCACTAAATAAAGGTGTGGATTCCGCTTATTTATTGTTATTGGTATGGCTAATTCGAGTCGTAAAATACGAGCAAACTTATGGAACTAATGAAATTTAATACCAGCACTGTTGCAAGGCATTTGAATATGGGCATTTCTTATTAATAGCGACCGTGTAATTAATAATAAACGGCGAGTAATGAGCTAGTCGGGATTGTAGTTCGATAATGAGGTCGAATATAAAGTTACCAAGTTATAGTAATACACCCGTGCAAAAGCATAAATTATAATAATCTCTCTAATATTCATATGTATTGGTAACCGAGTTTTTCACAGAGACAGATTTTATCCCTGTGTGTTTTAACATCAATAGAAACGATGGAAATTAGCTGTTATTGTACGCATACACCGAGCATTTGCAAACATGTCATCACCGGAGCGCTTACGGCTTTGTATTATGCCCACTCTATCAATATTTGACAAAAGCCCTTTGTGAAACATTAAATTATTACATCATTTTGTATCTCCACAAACACGCTCCTAATTATCGGGATTGCCGGGATATTATCGAAAATATCATATACCCATCCAGGACTGTACGCAAACCCTCTCATATTTTTAATTACATATCTACTTCTGTATAATTACAGCCGTTTCTTTCGCAAAAACCAAGGTGAACGCTAAAGAAATCAATAATTTCGTTCGGGACCATTTCAGAACTATTCTGGAATGAAAAACCAATTCAAAATCGATTCAATACTATTCTGGAATGAAAGTATTTCTATCATTCTTTCGAGACAATTTCAGAACTATTCCGGACCGTTCAAAAGCAATTCAAAACCCTTCGAGGCCATTTCAGAACTATTCTGTACCATTCAGAATCCAGAATGGGTTTCAATTGGAAGTAGTCTTTTAGGATAATTCTAAATAGAATCTACTCCAATTTCATAGACGATTTAACATTTTAGTAAGGTACTTTTTAAGTGTGTCATAAACTAATAGTCTTGCATACATGGTCAACAAGAAATTGTACACATTGTGTAGGTATAATATACACGGATAAAATCCGGACAGAAATGCCGGCGATTTTTTCCCGTAACGCCGAAGAACCCGATCGAGAAGATCTCAATTCCAGCCGGCCGGCGTTCAATCGTAAAACCGCACTTTATAGTTATCACGATCCGGAGATTTCCATGCGTGTGTATACGTTTCTTCTACAAATCGAACACGACCCGTACGCGTACAAGTTACAATGATTGCCATTTTTTTCTCCTGTTCGCTCCTCTCCACTGCGCGGGGATTCCTAGTTAGCGCAGGACCGGCCTCGCCCTATACACGAGGAAAATTCATTTGAAAAAAATCTGTTTGGTGTTAATTAGTCCGTTAATTTCAACGAATTTGAATAGTACAACTAATTGTAGCGAGAGCTGTGATATATAGGGTGTTTGAGCTAAGGGGTGATAAATTTGAAGAGACTTCTAAGTAGAAAAAAATATATACTGCTCCACTAAAGTTAAGGAAGTTCACAAATATTGAGATTAATTTAAAAGTTGCAGGTTTTTTGATCGCCAAATTTAGTATAAATTGTAGAGGTAGGGACAAACAATCCACTCAGATATGAAAGGAAACATTTAATTTCGCATATTTGAAAATTTGGTGATCAAAAAGTCTGTAACTTTTAAAATAATCGCAAAATTTGCGAACTTCCTTAAATTTTGTGGAGCAGTTTATTTATAAACGAAAAATGCATAGTTTTCGAAACATGAAGGCTCAAATGCTATTTTATTTTGAAGCGTTTTAAAGGGTGCCACTTAGCATAAACACCATTTAGGTATATTAGATGTTTTTTTTGATAATTTTCATCAGGAAAAACCGTCCCTGTGACGGTTTTAAAGGAGTAACGTATCGCCGGGGAATCGCTTAAACACGCACAACACTCCGGTAAACTGCGCTATTAAAATAATAAACGACAGCGATAAAACTAGGAATTACAAGTTGGTATCGACAGCGCAGCGGGCGATTATTAATCGCCGGTTAATTGCGGGATTTTTTCCTACCCCGCGAACGCGTCGGGCGCGAGTACGTGGAAAATTCGATTCGATTAGGAGATGATTTGTCGGCGGCGAGGCGACGAGAAACAGAAAAATCAACGCGGTTAATTATGCAGGCTGCGTCTTTTTATGTAACAGCTCGACTTTGGTGCTTTTTTAGACGCCAACAGGGCCATTAATAACGTTTCTATTTTCGGGTTTCGAGAGCTTTACATATCATTTTCGAGCTTTATCAGCCCGTTTTTATCTAAACTCTCGAGCAACAATGCGTTCGACACGACATCTCGAAAGAGTTTTAATTATTACATCGATAAAAATTTGAGGCAATGGTAACCTTAATAAGCTCATAAAGAATTCAAAATCGTAGCTATTCTGGAATATGCGAAAAATACAGCCGTATAAAATCCGAATTAAATGCAGTTTTTATTCGAGCAAACACAACAGAGGATGAAAACGAGAGAATCCTCTCATTTCAATTCCTCAAGTAATCCAAAAAAAAATCTTTGTTCCGATTATTTTGTCGTAACTCGCCTTTTTTACTGTGTGCCTAATTATTCCCATGTATGCTTGAAGAGCCGATTCGAGCGGGTAAAAAATATTTAGGATTGAAATCTTATCCGCACATGACCGGTCGAATTTCTCCTGTGACTGCGCTCGGGAGGCGATTAATTAAGAAAAAAAAAAGATTTACGATAATTGCTTCGAGTGTACGGCGTCGTTAATTGTTATGGGAATAAACAATGAGGAAAATTTCAGCCGCATACTCGAAATTCTTGAGTGGTCCTCGCAGCATAAATACGTTGCTTGATAACGATCAGCGGATGGGTTTATGATTTTTATAGTTATATGCGTGGAGACAATATACAATCTGTATTCTGGTTTGAGTGGAATTAAATGTTCACGGTTTTTATAGTTTTATTGCTTCATTAAAAAAACGCCTATTTAACAGTTATACAGAACATTTTTGCTTCACAGTTCTTCTGTTATAAACGTCAATTAAAAATTATACCAGTAGTTTAGATGATAATTTGATGTGAAAAATTGTTTCGTAAGGTTATAAAAAATAGCTCGAATTTTTCGTCTATTCCAATTTACTTGTAATTTTTGTAATTCTCGAATCGCATTAGTCAGCGATAATTTTGTTATTGCAGTGATATTTCATTATTTTCATGCAAACTATGAACTTTGTATTATAAATTAATAATTAACTCCAGCACATGTACCTACTTGGAAATATAAATAAATATTGCAGTATATCCAAATCGATAATTACGTTTAAATAGTTTTAAAGTTCAAATATTATTGTTATATCGAAAATCAGGGAGAGTTTTCAATAATTTACATCAAACATGTACCTATTAAATTAACAACGTATATCTTATATTCAAATAGATTTGCTCTCACGAATCCCACGATTTATTACGAGCCGTTCAATTCATTTAATATTGTAAGTAGATATCTAAAAGATACGGACAAGAATAAATCGAACGGCATTCAAAACTACAAGCGAATGATTTGTTATATTCACACAAATCTCAACATAGAAAGTTTCCATAAATATGACAGCGATTTTTATGGCTACCATTTACAATTAAATTCCAGATTCGCCGATATTCCATTTAAACTTTACGATCTAACCGACTCGCATGTATTACATTGTATCCGTAATGTAAAAGTATAATCCACTTTTATGTCCCCAGGTCTTCCTAAATTATCCAACAGGACCGGCCTGATTTTTTTGCGAACCAAAAAACTAATTAATAATTAATTTTTATCGCGTTTTAAAATTTATTAGTTTAAGTTTATGGCTTTCTAAAACGATTATTGAATTAAATTTATTTCTGGTTGTTTCAAATAATTAAATAGTGATATAGCCAAAATATTGTTATTAAGTGGCGTTTTTTGATACTAATAGTATAATAATTTTTTGTTAATATCCCGAGTAAATTAACGAGGCCTGTCCTGTGAACCGTGAAAGTCTTAAATGCACCAGCCGTTAGAGAAGCCCGAATGGAAATAAATTCACATTTTGATGGGCTCTACCGATTCATTTCAGTCATTTTACGGAGATACTTTCGGTGTAGAAAGTCGATTTTATTATTACCGTCATCGGCAGCGCTTTGAGAAAATTTTCGATTCCTCGGAATAGGATTTCCAATTTTTTTTTCTCCACCTAAATCGGTACACGAACCGATAAAATCACCGACTAACGGTACTGTTAAACGCATAAAGTTTCGAATATTATCGCCGGTACGTTATGTAAAAGCAATTTTTTATTATCTATATCCATTACTGGCGTAAGAAAGGCATATAAGAAGAGTTCTCGCTTGCTTCGCAAGCTCGAATTTAGCTACCCGGTTTGGAGAGAAATGGTAAATAGTAAATGCTCTGTTAAAACACTACTTTTTCCCATTCTAAACAACGAATTCAAGATATTAAAAAATATCCACAATCAATGAGTCAGTCAGTGAATATAAGTATTGAATAAAAATTCCGAAACCGGCGATGGAAGCGCGAATAAATCGCGATTCATCCTCCGGAGAAGATCGGACCGGATGGTTCACCTTCGAAGCGCGACCGGGGCCTGAAGCGGCTGAAACTGAAATCCACCGGGCATTGTTTCAGCGCAACGATTGTGTCGCGGAAGCGTGACAGATCCCACGCGCAAACCGCACGCCATTGGCCGGCGTTCGAATGCCCGGACTTTATCCATTGGTCATTCCCTTGTGACGGATGGGCCCGGCTTCTTGTCCCTCTCTTGACAGGTGGGAATATCGCGCATTGTTCGAAAACCGCGACATTTTCTCTCGACGTTTGCGATGGTGCTTGAACAGTTCGACTCACCTTGTTGGGTTCCTGTTGTTGCGCCAGCAGTTGTTCTCTCACCATTTGCAGTTGGAAGATCAGCTCGGAGAGTTTCCGGTCCTTTTCCATGATATTGTCGCCGGAGAGCGCTTGGTGGATCGCTGCAGTCTGTTCCACATCCCTAAACAAAGAGACACTAATCTAAAGAATCTATATAGAAGGAATTAACTGTAGGGCATCAAACAAAGCGCAAAAAATGAGACTGTGTGTACATCAAAAGATCTTTCATGGGATATCAGATCGAGCTGGGCTCGAGAAAGAATTTTAATGCAGCTTTTTTGTCAAGCAAACGCAGGTCTTTCATTCAGAATCTTTCAATTTCTAGTATTTCGTATTTAACAAATATCTTGAAAAGAATTGTTTTGTATTGACCACGTGCCGCAATTTCGAGCGCGAGCCCAGACGAAAAATGTCTCCGCTTTTATTGTGACTGAAAATTGTTACATAAATTATCATTTCCGATACCGATAAGGATTGATTTATTGTTATTCTAAAATAGAGCGTATGCAATATGAATGAGCGGTGCCGATAACGCGACAGAATATAGTATGTGATATTATATAGAAATATCGGATCTGAAAATAAAATAGGTTATTCGACTTATCGTCGTGGACGCGAAAGGTCAAGGCAATAAGAGCGATGATTAAATGTAATGTTAATTGTACTCTCATGTAATCGTTTCGGGCTTTTGTTTAAAGATGTCGCAACAACTGTCTCATGGACACTGACATTTTCGTATTATGTTATTTTGTTATCGTGTAATAAAGTTATATGTTTCGTTACAATACCAGAAAATGCGTTACATTTATATAATTATTTTAAAAAGTTTTTATAAATAAACGTGATTTTAGTATGATGTTACTCTTCATTCTCTGATAAGGAGTAATTAATAAATATGCTATTCGTAAAAGAATTCGTTTTCCTTCAAATATTAAACCAAATTTATTCATTTGCTGGTGTGCACAAAATTACGAAATTACTACACATAGTTTCAATTAAACTTTTTTTCTGCTCTATTTTTTAATAGTATACATAGGATGCTTGTTATAATGCGATCGATCTGTCTATGAGATTAGTTTCTTTGATCTACACCTTTATCGCTAATTTATATGCGCCGATATAATAATCCTGCCGGTATACATGTGCATAGCGATATTATTCCAGAATGTAAATTTTTTCGATCTACATAAAATTATCTATATAAGGCGATGGATTATTCACGGATTTTTCGGATTACCTCGATCGAAAATTATTATGCAACCGGTTCAGACTGGTCAGAGTAGTGCTAAATAAGAAAAACGCGATTATTTTATACAAATAATATCTCCGGTGTAAATTTTCGTGGGGTTTTATTAGTTTATTATTATTTTTTTGGTAAAGAGTGCAATGGGCGAACTAATTAATTATGATGGGAAGAGAATTGTTTGTAGTACATAAAATTATCTATATAAGGCGATGGATTATTCACGGATTTTTCGGATTACCTCGATCGAAAATTATTATGCAACCTGTTAAGACTGGTCAGAGTAGTGCTAAACATATATGAAAAACGCGATTATTTATACAAATATCTCCGGTGTAAATTTTTGTTTGTAAAGAGTGCAATGGGAGAACTAATAAATTGATGGTAAGAGAATTGTTTGGATATACTTACGAGTTATTGAGAGAATTGGGAGTAGACGAAGGCGTCGGCCTCTTCTCCTCCCTCAGCGTGCTGTGATTAATCTTCGACGTCAACCTCTTGAGCACATCGTCCATGGACCGCTTCAACGACGGATGCGAGGAACTATTGTTATTAACTAAACTATTGTTATTGTTATTGTTGTAACAGTTCGTCTTGGCCGCCTCCGAATTCGGGCTGCCGCACTCCGACGAGTTCCGCCGCCTGGCCGGCGGCTCGTTGTGCAGCGACAGCGCCTGGATGCTGCTCGACACGAACACCGGCTCGGCCAGGCGGGCCGCCTTGCTCGGCGGCAGCCGGTCCTCGTCCAGATCTTCGACCTCGCTGGGCGAGGCGCTGCCCGCCGACGACGACTCCGACAGCTTGTAGAAGGCGCCCCCCGCGTGGTGTCCGTCCTCCTCGCCCAGGTCGCTCAGATTGGCGCTGCTCGTCTCGTCCAGGTCGCCCTCGCTGCCGCTGCACGCCTGCTGCTGCTGCTGCTGCTGATGCTGCTGATGCAGCTGTTGATGGGCGCCCGGTTCGCCCGAGCTCGCTCCGCTTCCTTCGTGCAGCTTCGTCGGAGGCGATTTGCGTTTCGATGACATGTTTCTGCAACCAAACAAAACGTTTATTATTTCACTAATTATCTTCAATGTAGCGTAAAGTAGAATACCTTAAGTAAATTATAACGTTTTATAGATAAATTTGGCGCCTGACATGAATAGAATCCTTCATAGAAATCTCCTTAAAATCCTTCTAATACAGTTAGGTACTTATAACTTTTTCGTAGAGTAGATTAGAGTAGACTATTGTAGAGTAGTATATCGCAGATTAGAGTAGATATACGATTATAAATGTATATGTATAATTAATTCACAAGTTCCACATAGCACTCGAGCTAGACGCAATATACTCACTTCCTAACACCTTATACACTCTCTAATATCTAATATGTCGTCTTCCTTATTTAAATTAAACTCCCGGGTCCTGAAATGTTCGCTCCTTGACCGCTAACGCCGCATTTCTATTAGAATTTCGCTAATAATTAACGGGGGAGCGTCCGCGAACGCCCAAACGTACTCGCCATTTCCGGTAAATAAACGGATTCGAACGGGTTTTAAGAAGACGACAGAGGTCAGAAGGATCTCGCACCGAATTTCAACGCGGACTGATAATCGAAATCTGGAGATCAAGAGTGCATGCTCATCGGTTTCGTTATGTAGCATTATGATTTTAATACAGGGCGTCCCGTTTAAACGAGTACCTTAGAGAGCGAGGAAAAAGTCCACCATAAACTTCTTACTATTAATATTTCTTAATTTTCTTATTCTTATAGACTCTCTAATTTCATAATGATAATTGTAGAAATTGCAATTTTCGTTAATTGGACAATCTGTATTGGATTTATCTTAGGAACAATTGGAGATCAATGGGGGTCATACGAGCATTATCGTTTACAAACGGGTTATCATCACAATCACGAATAGCTAGTGAATAACAGAAGGATTCATGCGAGTTTGGCATGAAGAAATTTTGGATCCGTGTGTGGAATTCGCCTTTGTTTATTTTTGCCTTTCGATATTTTTTTATAGTTAATTGCGATGTTGATAGTTGCTGTATTATTGATAATTATAATTGTAACGTGTATGTGAAATTACAATAATTAATTCGGTCGGTTCGACTTCGACTAATTATATCATGTGTGGCTGATAAAAAATATAAAGGAGTTTTGTAATAAACGAATACGGATATGTGAATAACAATTTTATTAAATACGGTACTATTTTTGGAAAGATATATCTTTACGTTTTTGAGAATTTGATTAACTTCGTATTTTTTGCTGGAATTTGAACGAAATTTAACCAACTTTCTAAGCTCTTTTCTATTTAATATTTTAGCATTTATATCTAAAATTTATTTAGTACCTAAAATTATTATTTTATTAATCAATTTTAATTAATTAATCATTCACGCAGCTACAAAAATATTTGCTCTGAAGAAATGTTTTTCTATAATTGATGTGTAAATAACAATAAGTTTGGTTTCGAATAAAGTTTCCCAATGTAATTCTAATAATTAATAGAGTGCATAATAAATGCATTATAAAATTCTTCTGTTTTCGATTCATTGATCCAAAACATTCTACCAATTAAATACAGAGAAGCATTCGTAAAAATGCAGGAATTATTATAAAATAAACGGTAGATATGCACAAAACAAACAGAACTAATTGTTAATAATTGCCTGTATGATAGTTTATAACCAGCCCGGAATTTTAATTACTTACATGGCAAATAATTTCGCTATTTACTGTATACCCGATATAAATGATTGTTATAAGTATTTACTTTACATTATACATACAAAGTTATTCAGTTTACCGTAACTTATCCGTTAAAGGATCTAAAACAATTTCAATTCAGATGCAAATTGTTGTTTATGCAATGTTAAAATTAAAGCGTTATCTATTAAATCCAAATACGGTATTAACATTATTAAAAAAAATCAATAGAACAATCATTCGATTAACCATGAAAATAAATTAGATACTAGACTATTACTTATCGACAAAGGTTGATGTTTATATAGAAAATATTAATTAAAATATTGTTAATTATAAACTGCCTGGTAATCAATTAAAATTTCGATGATGAAGTCGACAGGCGATTTTATAAATAGAGCCATAACCTGGTCATTCCGGCTATTTTTAACCGATGCTCCGGGTAAAAGGAAATCAGCCTAATTTCCTTAACGGTGCGAATGGAAATTACCCCAGAGATGAGCCTTTCTAATCAATTACTCCAGATTTAGTACGCGTTCAAACGAGAATAGAAAGAACATTTCCCCGGAACCGCGTGGGTTATTATAATGAACAATTTCTCTAAAAAAAACCAGATCCATTCATTCCTTGTTCCTTTCATACTTAAGTAATTCACAAAGAGAAAAATATCTTTTAATACGGAAAATTATAATTGAAGTAATTTGCGACAAATCCCCGCGCACAATGCGCGAAATATCAGAGTGGGCGGTTCGCGAAACCCAATTTTCACGTTAAAAAAAAAATCAAAAGCAATTCCAAAAGACGTTTTCAATTCCGCGGAATAATGGCGAAGCCCCGGCGCACAGAAAATAAAAATTAAAATTCCCTTTCACGGCGCAGAAAAGATAATGTATTTATTTATTTCCGAGCTTAATGACATATTTTTACGGGGAGAAAACCCCCGTTACTACCTATAGAAAACTCCCGAACCGTCTTTATCGATTGCCTCAGCAATTTGTGCCGCTGCTACAAAGCGACAACAAATCTAATTTCCCAAATAAATATTTTCTTTGCTTCATTATATACAGGAAAGCACCTTTTATAAAATACCTATATACTAACTAAAGGAGTTTATAAAAACGGATTTTTATCTACTAATAAGATCGATAATAGCGTACTAAAACAGTACATAATTTTAATTTTAATCGTATAAATTATGATAAAGAGGTAATTTAAAATTAGAGCCACCTTGTATATTCTTCGCCTTATTTTATTTCCATTCCGTTCGGATTTTCAGGGAGCCGGGAGAGACACGGGTTTTCTTTCTCGCTGCGCTTTCGTACTTATTATTTCCATCTTTACAATTCGATAATGACATTTTCCCTACAATAAACACAAATATAAGACTCTAAAATACCAATCAGAATTGATTCGCCGCTGTTTAACTTCCCTTTGACGGGCGCCAATTCCAGCTCCGCGAATCCGCCTAATTGAATAACTCCGGATTTTGTTTTTCAAGGCGCCCATAGGACCGGAAAACGTTCTTTTCTACCTCTTTAATCATCGCTACATTCGACGGCCCTTTTATATTATATTTATAAACATCGATGAGTTTGTTTCAATAAATTAATATCGCCGTAATAATGGTGTTTTAGCAGCGTTACTAGATGAATGAAGACTTGTAATAGTTGCTGATTTGGGTCTGTTGGAGAAGTCTTAATAACACAGGGTGCTTCTATTGTTAGGGGCTCTTATATACCCAGGGCCGTACCGATTTTATTGCAATCAATAAAATCATTTCGTAATGTAATGGGCTATGTCGTTGTAAATGGAGCTGGAAGACAATATAGAGGGATACAAGACAAATGCGATGATATCGTCGGAAAAAAATGGTATTATTTACAGTCCATCTCTGGGGTTTAATGATAGAGGACGCGTGCACGTCTCATCGATTCGTAGGGAGTCGCCCTCTCCTCACATAATAAAACTCCACGTTTACATAATGACTGGTACAATGCGCGTCATCAAGTCCGCTTGTTCGTCGAGGAAGTCATTTTCCTCGGATATTGAGGATGCACTTGACCCGATCGGGATTTATTGTTCTTGGCTAGACGTCATTACCGTCGGAGGCGCGGACTAGAAACGCTCGTTCGCGGAATAAAAGTCCGGAGAACATACGCTTTGTTTCTATGAAAACAACGTTACTGTCGCCTTTGCGCCGGGCGATGTTTGCCCGTAAATAAGTAAAATTTCGATCCTTGCAAACGTTTTGTTGTCGTAGAAAAAACGAGGAGTAAGCTAAGAAGAAAGTGCTTGAAGTACTGCAAATTATTGTTCTATTATCTGCAACACGAATGAGAAATTAATCGGTCTTCTCTTCGCTGAATTAGTTTGTTGGCCTGAAGACTATTTATATTTACGCGAAGAGTATTAGGTATGTTCTCTTTGTGCTAAGTTGAAATAAGATCTTTTGTTGGGCGGTTTTTCTAAATGTTTTGTCTAGAGGACAATGCGCAACCTCAGGTTTTTTTTCTTTCGTTTTGTTTAAAACATTTCGAAGGTCTATGTTTGGGCATTGTTTATACGTTAGATTTCCTGTGTGAATTTTTTCGGCAACCACCGCGTCACGTACGTGGAAAATTAGCGCACATAAAGAGAATCCAGTCGTAACAAAACATTGAGAAATATCGATGGAATGCGGAAAACCAAGAGATAATTCATCATTTTTGTTGTCGAGTAAAATAATTCTCTAATAACAACTCGCGAAAAAAAAACGTTCTAAATTCCTGCTTGTACGACAATTTGCAGCACCAAGCTTCTATATAAGTACCGGACTCGTACTTGTTTTTGATACGGAACTGAAATTGTCAATCGACTGATTAATGCAATTTAAAATCGCCCATTGATTGAATAAAGCCTTAATGGCATCCCATCGTTCATATCATCAACAGCGCCTAGATTATGCCCTTATATACAAACCGCCGCAAATAAAACCCATTATAATTGCATTTCTCGTACAGTTTAATGCGTTACTAACATTTTCCGCTTTAACGTTTGTAGATTGTCGAGTTATAAAAGACGACATACGCTTTTGTTGTGCTTGACGGGCCGTAATTTATTATTTTTTTACACCGGTCGAACCAGATCCCGATGCCGAACAACGATTTATAATGATACTGCACACACACACACGCTGCCCGGATCGATTATTCCGTTGCCGGTTGTTTCGTTTTTATAACAACTAGCGTTATTTATGTACCATAATTCTACCCAAATCAAAGATAAATTCAGAAAATTGTTCGGCTACTTTTAATATACTCAGTGTCTCTGGAATAATAAAGCTGGTCTT